CGCCACAGACCCGGAAAAAGAGCCCCGATGTCTCATGTCATTATTAATTTATAGGGCCCTAGACTCCGCCTTTCGCAGAAGGGGGAGCTCAACCTGTCAGTGTATGAGGGGGCGTGGCTAAGTGTGATCTCAGGGATCTTATGTGTACTGATGTGTTTAGGAAATATGCGACGGTGCTCCAAAGCCTTCCTACGTGATGTGGCAAGCAGATTAAACTCTATTCCGTGAGATATTGAATCATCAGGGAGACTCTCTTAAGAGTTTGCTGGCCCAGTTTAACCCAGTCAGAACTGGGTCATAATTTCATTATAATCCCGTCTCTGAGCAGATAAAATCCATAGGACCAGTCTAAATAGGAAATATCTTAACATTGTTCAGTGTCAGGGGGGTGATCAGTCTTACATCGGGGAAAACAAACAGCCACTGGCCAAAAGGATGGACCAGCACAGAAGATCAACATCATCAGGCCAGGACTCTGAGGTCTACACTCATCTCCAGGCCAGCGGTCACTCTTTCAGGGATGAAGATGTTCACATCCTGGACAGAGAGGAATGATGGTTTGAGAGAGGAGTAAAGGAGGCCATCTTTGTGAAAAGAAACCGTCCATCATTAAACAGGGGCGGAGCCTCCGGGTTCAACTGTCCCCCTCTTACAATGCTGTGATTGCTAGTATCACTCAGCCCTCTGTGAACAGTAAACAGCCATCAGGTGCTAATGATCCATTGTTAGGCTGATGGTCCTTCTTGAGCATGTGATCAGCTGGTTTTGGTTGTCAGCAGCAAAACTGGTTGATCCACTCTGAGAAGGTGCTATTTAAGAGACTGAGCTGAAAACAGCACCTCAGACTGAGGAAGTCTCTCGGAAGAAAGACGAAATGTTTCTACATTTTTTTTGTTTTTGAATGTCCAGAAGACCAGATGTAACTTTTTTAGATCATCAGAGACTCTACTTCCTCAGGCGGCTGAGACGAGCTGGTCTGGAAGCTCAGTCCTCACCTCCTTCTAC